TGTTAAATGAATCATGAGGTTGTTAAGCGAATCTAGTTTCCCAAAGTTTTCTTTTTTTGTGAAAATCAGCAAAAAAGGTCTCAAATCACAATTATGCGACCCTAGAATTCAGGGACAGTCACAAATATGAGCTGGATGTCAAGCATCCCAAATACATTCATATGATTGTGGGTGTGGGTATGTGATACCATAAGTGTGAGTGCAAGTCACAAGTCACCAACCTAGCTTAGAACCGTTGTTAAATGAACAGTTGTAATTTCAGGTCCCAACATTTTAAATTGTGAAGAACAGTAGCATAAAGTACCCATCGTATCCAGCGCTAGGTTGTGTTGCCTTGCAGCCAGAATAGCTTTTTGATGCTTTATGGTAGTGACACAATTGCCTTTTTTTTTTTGGTTTGGCTAGTGCTGTCATGAAAATAATTTTCTGCGGTGTTCTTGGATTTCACTTATACTATTTGTACATTCGTAAGGGCTTCTTCTGATTTTTCCCATACAATAGCTCATATCTATCCAAGTTTTTTGTCCTCATGGCAAACTTGTTCATTTAAATGGAGGAAGATTTTGGCTGACTCTTTATACCTCCACACTCTGTTTCATAACCATTTTTAGGTTGACTTTTTTAGCTTTAAAATCTGTTAAAACCCAAGAAATGGCATGTTCTGGCCCCCATCTATAAATTCATGACACTTTTGGGAACCAAAGAGACATAGCTCCTTCCCTCTTGACTAACATTCCTCCAGAGCGATAGTTGTTAAACTGAGGTAATCTGGGCATATCCTAAGGTTAATATGGATCCATTTATTTGTTTGAGAGTCAAGGATGCAGTTTGGGAACTGCCACTGCCAAGATCCTTATATAAAGCAACAACATTTGGGATTTTATTTTTTGAAGGGGGGTGGTAATGACATTGTCAAGATTAGGGGAAAATGATCACTGAGTCCAACAGTTTAAGAACCACTTCTCCAGAGATTTGAACAGTTCTATCTCTGCTTTTTTTCAAGCAAACTCTGAAAATTTAGCTGTTTCCCCAGGCCTTGAGCCAGACTGGGGTGTGTCTCCACCAAGGGATTGAGTTTGCATGCCGTGTTAGCATTATGGCTATTCCTCTTGTTATGACCATCTTTTTTGGAGAGGGTGTCTTGAATGTGATTGTTTTTTAACTTCGTACTGCACCCACGATCAGTGAGTTTTGGATGGCCCTAGAAATCTCAGTTAGACTTTTTTTAAACTATAACAAACAGGCAGCGACTCTTAGTCGCTCAAGCTTATGCCCCTCCATTCCGCGGCAAATTTCCAACCATTTTCTTGATGGGAAAATAAAAGAAAGCAAAATAAAAGTATGAGGATTTCAGAAAAGCCAAAGCATTTTAAACAGTTATTAAACTTGCTTAAAATTTCCAGAACAAGATTAAAAACAATGAGAGGAAGACCCTTCGTCTTGTAGACAACACAGGATCTCCTGAGTGTTCATTCAGCTACTAAACATAGCAGGGAAGAAACCTTGATCCCAAACTAAATAATTAATATTTTACACCATCTTTTCCCTTGAATGTAGAGAAGACTGACAGTATCTTATAACATTTCTAGGGAATTTAAAGAGCTTCTCCCAATAGATGTAGGAGATGACCAGGCTGAGACAGAGGGAAGGATCTAGCGCAATGGTGGCAAGCCTTTTTTGGCTCCTGTGCTGATAATTGTGTGCACGCTCATGCGCTCGCGCACCAGCACCCAGAAGGCAATGCGTGCTGCCCCCCTATACCCCCTGCGCATGCACGTGCAATCCCCCTGCCGCATCCTGCATGTCTGCGCCTGTGCACATGATTCCCCCGCCGCGCGTCTGCACCTGCGCATGTGATCCCCCCACCGTGCACAGCGCATCTCTGCACATGCATGCGAGATCACCCCCGGGCATCATCCATCTGTGCATGTGCGCATGATCCCCCCACGTCTCTGCACACGTGCGCATGTCTCAAGCACTCCCCTGGTGCATGCATGCCAGATACCTGACAATCAGCTGTCGGACGGTGGCGGCGTGCACACCTGCGCAGTGGGGTTCTTCCGGGCGAGCTCTTGCATGCCGGCAGAAGTGGCTCAGCATGCCACTTCTGGCACACGTGCCATAGGTTCGCCAACACGGATCTAGTGTGTCATAAGTCACAAGTCGCTGTGTGCCCACAAGACATCTACATTCAGTCCAGTTTGAATGCCTCTTTTATTTCCCCACACATTTCTTTTAATGGTCAGTTGGCCAGATTCTTGTAGAAAGCTTATGCTTGCAATAACTCTGAACTGCCTGAATCTCCTGACTTCCCAGGCACTTGACATTAATCTGACCAACTAACAGTCAAGGGAAATGTGCAGGAGATAAGACAGGTATTTGAGGTGGGACTCAGATCTCTTGCAGGCACTCAGGGACTTGTGATTTATGACGCATTCGACTTCTCCCTTGGGTTCAGCCTGGTAATCATAGTGAGGACCATGGAATGCATATGGTTACAGCCAATTCAGATTTAATCTGAATCTTGCAGGACATTCCTTTGAGCAACCCTGGATTCTGGCCTACAATTTCCAGTTGGCATCATCTCCCACCTCCTTATTCATGATCTTAGAAGGTGATTTGGGGCGTTAGTAGGGCTGTAGCTTTGTATAAAGTCATCATTTGATATTCTTGTAATGATACCTTCTCTCTTGTTGTGCGTTGTAATGAACATTAAGTCTTTATACTGTAGTTAATGTGTTTTAAGGCTTGAGGTTTTTCTTAACATTCATTTTTCTGCTTGTTGGAGTAGCAGGTTTTATAATTGTGAAAAGTAAAGCGATGTGTGATTGATAAAATAAAACAAAGAAGATTCTCTTGAAAATAAAATTCTTCCTGAGACATAATTAATCTGTGAATATATAAGTAGGGGGTTGATTACAAAGTAATTAAAAGATCACCTTTACTTTCCTCTTTCCAGCTGCTACCTATCTATTTCTGTCTCTGCAGGTTTTCCCTAGTTTACTATTCTCTTTTGCTAAACTAACTTATCCCAGCCATGTGTCATCTTTGCAAAGCAGGATAATTGTTCTTCTGAATCATAGATCTTGCTTGTTGTCTTCTATACAGATAACATGATTAAGATGTGCTATACTCTTGGATTTACTAGTCATAAAGTTAAGCAGGAAGGAATAATGGACACTTCCTTGTAATGAGCCAGGCCACAGCTTTAACCATGTTAAGTCTTGACTACATTTTCTGATTGAGGCTTAATAATAATATTCTATATAGGGGCGTTTTCAATGCTACATGGAGATGCTAAAGATGAAATCTAATTGTTGCTTTGTATACAAAATAGGTCCTTGGTCACTGAACAACAAGCCTTTTTCATTTATTTGGAAATATTCTAAATCTTATGGACCAATTCTGTTAAGGCTTCCCATTATGCAGTTTGGACAGAGTTCTGTTTCTGAACAAAAGGCAGCAGTGGCCAAATCTCCAATAAATAGGGGAGAAAAGAACAACAGAAGTTTGATTTGGTCTCTACAGGATGGATGGGGTTTCAAGCATCATGTTCCTTCTTTTAATAACTGTGTCCTCCAGATGTGTTCGCCTGTGGTGGGATTCAAATATTTTTACCGCCAGTTCGGTGGGTGTGGCTTGGTGGATGTGCTTTGCACACGTGCACACTCTTGGCGTGCACCCATGTACCAAATGCGAACTTTGCGCAGGCACAGAGGCGTTCTAACTTGCCTCCTGCACACCTGCACGATCCCGGTCGCTTCAGCAGCTGCCTCACGGCACTCTTCTGTGCCGCGCAAAGCAGCTGTGCTTCAAATTCAGTGGATAAAGGTGACTATGGGAGCCCGGGCGGGCGGGTGGGCCCAACATCAGAGCAGCAGAGAGAACTGGTTCGGTCTCCACTGCTCATCGCTGCTACCAGCTCTGCAGAACTGGGCCGAACCAGAAGAATACCACCACTGGTGTTCGGGCAATGGTGGATCACTATTAAGTTGAGTTCTTTGAGCACTCTCCTGTTTTGAAATAGCTTCAGGACCAGGATTCATTGTTGAATCACTAAATACAAATAGGTTTCTTTATTGGAGAAGGAGATGAGATTGTGGTAGAGGTAGTCCTTGACTTACAATCACTGGGATTGCCATGATAAATTGGTGTGGTCATAAAACAAGGTGTCAAATGACTGCAAGGACTTACAACAAAAGTGTCAAACTCGTGGCCGTCACGGGACATTTCACGACATTTCCCCCCTTCGCGGAGCTTGGGTGCGTGTGGCCTGTACATGACGCATCTGGCCCACGGGCTGCCAGTTTGACACCCTGGATTTACAGTGACAATCCCAGCTGTTTGTGGTCTTTGAGAATTGTGGGTTAAGCGAGTACTCATCCCAATCCAAGTCATTCCAGGAGTGGTCTCTTCCAACTGCGGACCTCAGTAAGGTAAGGCAATTGCTGGCACAGGTCATAAGTCATTTTTTTCTGCACCATTGTAACTTTGAATAGTCACTGAACGAATGATCGTAAGTTGAGGACTACTTGTATATTTTAAATATTGTAGCCATAAAACAGAAGTTGCTGTTGCTGCAATGTTTAAAGTTTCTTTGTTCCACAGATGTGCATCTTGACCACTACAGCTTACAACAACTATGTGATCCCCCCCCCCCCCCCCCCCGAAAGTGGGTTTTATGGATAGTTTACTGACAGTTTACTGATAATGGCATTCAGGCTGAATCTCAGAGCTCGATCATGTATTAACAGAAATACAATATGATGCAGTGGGTTGGAATGTTGGATTTGTTTTCAAACTTCTTCTTGTCTATCAGAACCACGGTATGACTTCGGCCTACTCAGTCAACTGTCAGCCAAACACTTTTCGCAGAGTAAATATAAGAAAAGTAGGTCAGCTTCATTTACTCCACATCGGTCAGCAGTAGACTGATCAATTCTTGTTCTGTATCTATATTTTGTTAAAAAGCTAACATCTTTTTCCTCTGTCCAATACAGAAATACCAAGACATGGCAGAAAAAGCTAAAGAGAAGTTCTCTGCTACTGAAAAAGTCCAAGAGCAATTACTCCTTGAGAATTCGCACCTTAAAGCTTTGTTGACGCAGACTCAGAAAGAACATAGATCTCTGCTGGCGGCTTGCGCGCTGTTGTCTGGGGCACTGTATCCTCTGTACTGTCGGTCCTGCGCCCTCTCGACCCAGAGAGATGTTCTTCAGGATCAGGTCAACACCTGTGACATGTTCAAGCAAGAAATCAGGGCACTGGCCAGTGCATTGTGTGAAACTGAGGAGAGGAAGCAAAGCAAGGGGAAGAAGAAGAGGCATTCCAGAAGCTGGATACACATTTTCCGAAAAAGCGTTATTGCGGTGCTGGCTGTCCACAGGCTTCAAATGTTATGCAGCCAGTCGTGCAGCTCCCTTTTCTCCTGGGTAGATGGTGTCAGAGCAGGCATAGGAATCCCTGTCTGCATTGGAGATTCCAAGGATGTGCATAGTCTGTCAAGTAAGATAGCAAGCTGATGTTTTATATATGTTGTGTCAAACTATACTTTTAGTACTTACCATCCTACTAGGCAAAGGCAATGGAGGGGTGAGGGGAAGCAGATGCTTCACAATTTGAAATTATGTTTAAGATGTCAAAACTAAATTTAGCAAGTGAATTAAATCAACGGAAACCCCCAGCTTTGGTGCTAAATGTACAGGAATGTTCGTTGCTGAATTGATTGTAAACTGGAGCTGAACTAAATTGCATTTGGATGAGATCGCAAGCTAAGTAAGAAACAACTTTACTTAGATGCTTGATGCTTGGGTTCAAATGTCTTATTAAGCTTTATAAAGAAGGAAATCTTTTAATAGTAATTTTATTAAAAGTTACAATTAAAAAGGTGAACTAATAGAAACTAAAAATAATAAAAGAAAAAATAGAAAGTGAAGAAAAGAAAAAATAGGAAAAAAAATAAGAATATAGTAAAGAAAAAAATAGCAAAATGACTTTTTCCTTCATCACAAGTTTAAACAAATGTTAGTAACTTAATCACCTTCTCTTAAAATACAACAAATTGTCCCCCCCCCTACATATAACATGTAAAAAAATCTTATCTGTAAAAAAAAAAATCCTTAAAGGTTTGTTCTTTCAGTCCTGGTCATCAAACATCCTTGTGGTGAGATGGACTGAAAACAAATTAAACAAACAACAAACAAAGGGTTACAGAGATGACATCATAAATATTTTAACTTTGATCAAATAAACCAACCTTATATTCCTTCCTTTTACTTTTAATAATAGTTATCTTTAGTCCTTTCAAATAATGTCCTGGAAGTTTACATTTTGTCTTTTTTCACAAAATTCTTCAGTGCTTTAACAAACCTCTTTTGTAAAAAAAAATTATCCAGATCACGCTCTTGGTTTTTTATTTTTATATCCCTTTTTATTATTGAGAGATCAGTTAGCTTCTTTTGTATGTCCAGTGTAGCAGCTTTTTCCATATGATTCTTGTAGTCTTTCCTTTTTAAATCCATTTTAAGATCAATCTCAATCTTGTCAAGTAAAACTTGTTCCTCTTTTGTAACTGCTTTGAAACACAGTCTTTCTACAGAGGCAGACACGCTTAAAATTAACTTGTGAGTGCATTGTTCAAAAATGAATTTGCCTATTCATTCACTTTATTTCATGTGAAGCTTTAGCTCCATCACTAAATACTTACAGTGGACGTATCTAATAACTATACTTTTAATTTCTGCTTTCATGTGAAAATTGTTTGTTTCACCTTTCAGATAAATTAGAAGTATTTTTATGTGCATTTTGGGGAATTGAAATAGCTTCTTTTCCAAGAACAATATGAAAATAAGAATCCAGGAAAGTTTTTAAAGTATATTCTAATTTATTATATTAAAATCAAGATTAAATGTGTCCACTTCTGATTTCATACCAAGCTATAATGAATTGTGTAAATAATAATGTCTGTTTCTGTAGGATGGAACAAATTCATTTTTTTTCCTTCTCTTTTGTGATGCAGGACAACAAAAGGAGCAGATTCGCTGCCTCCAAGCATTCAGTTGGTTTACCAGTTGTGACCTTCTTACTGCAGTCCTTAGTTCTATGGATGAGCTACAAGAAGTAATTAACAAGGCAGGTAATGTCTGAGCTTCTTCATTGGTCTGACCTTGATAAATCAATTCCTTTTTTTTTTAAGGGGCAAACTTTTGATAGCATAGACTACTATTACCTAGAAATAAGCCAACTGGCTAAAATTATAGTTGGATGTTCTTATGGGTATTTGGAAGAACCAGAATGGTCTAAATCAGGGGTAGTCAACCTTTTTATACCTACCACCCACTTTTGTATCTTTGTTAGTAGTAAAATTTTCTCTAACGGCCCACCGGTTCCACAGTAATGGTGATTTATAATTGTAGGGGACAAAACCCCTACCGCCCACCATGAAAGCTGGAACGCCCACTAGTGGGCGGTAGGAACCAGGTTGACTTCCACTGGTCTAAATCAATGCAGAGTTCTATCAATAGCTACAAAGAGAATATGAGTCTGATGAATCAACTCATAACATGCTTCCTCCTTTCTTATTAGGCCAGGATATGTTTTCAGTTGTGACCGCTGTAATTTAAGAAAAGGTTCCCAAACTGTCAATTAGGACGTCCTGAGCAGTTTTGACACACATTTTTTTTTTTAAAATCAGACTCTCCCGGGAAGAATGAAAACACTGTCAAAAGTTGCTTGGAGTCTGCTTAGCCCACCGCCTAAGCAAGCTGGCTGCAGACTTGCCTGCGCAATAAGGGTTCATTTTGTCAGTGTCCCTGCTTTGTTGGTGCAGGCAAAGCAGGGAGGCTTTCAAAACTCACTTTAGGCTCTGCCTATGCAGATGTGCAGTGGGCATGGTATAGTATAGTATAGTAGCCAGGGGTGGGATTCAACTGATGTAACAAAAGTGTGCGGGCGTGCCAAACACACGCTTCGTGCGTGCATGCAGCATTTGCAACTCACCTTCTGCTGGAAGCCCTGCGTGTAAAACAGCTGACGTGCAGCAATCCGCTGTGCCGTGTGAATCAGCTGAGCTGGAAACCCCCGGAAATAAAGCACAGACTAGAGTTGAGTCAGGCGGGTGATCCTAACAGCTGATCGTTGGAACGAACTGGTTCTCCCAAACCAGGCTGAACCGGTAGAATCCCACCCCTGATAGTAGCCCAGTGTCAAAAAAAAAATCCTTGACTTAAGCCGTTATGTCAGAATTCATTTACAGAATTCCTGCACTGACATAAGGGATGGCCAATACTGTCTTTTCAAATGCATTTTCAAAATTGAAAATTGGAAAAAGACGGAGTCGCCAGGGAAAATGTGACTTACTTTAGAAATACAGATGGTTTTAATAAAAGAGCTGGATAATAAGCATTGGTTCATGACTCTGGTCAACCACTTTGCTTGGAGTAGCAGTGGTGATAAATGCAGTGAGAATAAGTGATGCAGGAGTGTTCTATGTTGCTAGCAGTTAACATCTGAACACCTCCGTGCATTATAGTTGGCAACTTTTAGAGGCAAATACAGCAATGGAACACATGACATCTTGGGCTCATCCACATGTTCACACTATGAGTATGCTCCATAAATGAATGTCTTATACACCCAAACTTCAGGGAATTAAAAAGTAGATGAAAAGCAGGTACCTGTAGTCCTTGACTTATAACAGTTTGTTTAATGACCGTTCAAAGTTACAACGGCACTATAAAAAGTGACTCATGACCATTTTTCATACTTAAAACCGTTGCAGCATCCCCATGGTCATGTGATTTACATTCAGATGCTAGACAACGGACTCATACTTATGACAGTTGCAATGCCCTGGGGTCATGTGATTCCCTTTTGCAACCTTCTGGCAAGCAAAGTCAATGGGAAAGCTAGATTTGCCTGACAACCGGGTTACTAACTTAACTTAAGTGCTATGATTCATTTAACAAATGCGGGAAGAAAAGTTGTAAAATGGGGCAAAACTCACTCAACAAATTTCTCACTTACCAACGTAAATGTTGGGCTCAATTGTGGTCGTAAGTCGAGGTCTACCTATACTGCATAAGCCAGTTAGTGTGGAAAATTCCAGCAATAAAGGCCATGGTTCACTCGAGATGTTGAACATCTAGGAACATCTCCAGAATCTTTTATTTGTGCCAAAAACTGATGTCTACGGACTGGGGGTTGTGGCTCAGAGGCTGCTGACCAATATTCACATATAATACTCTGTGTAGAACTCTTTCTGCACATGTGGCCTGTTTTTTTCAGTTCACTCATTGAAGCCTTATTTTTTTTTTTTGTTAGTCGCGAAGTCGTGTCCAACCCATCGCGATCCCATGGACATCTTTCCTCCAGGCCTTTCTGTACTCGACCATATTTTGGAGTCTGTTTAAGCTCAGGCCGACTGCTTCAGTGACTCCATCCAGCCACCTCATTCTCTGTCGTCCCCTTCTTCTATTGCCCTCAATCGTTCCCAGCATTGGGCTCTTCTCCAGTGAGTCCTTCCTTCTCATTAGGTGGCCAAAGTATTTGAGTTTCATCTTCAGGATCTGGCCTTCTAAAGAGCAGTCAGGGTTGATCTCCTCTAGGACTGACCGATTTGATGGCCTTGCAGTCCAAGGGACTCGCAGGAGTCTTCTCCAGCACCATAGTTCAAAGGCCTCAATTTTTTGGCGCTCAGCCTTCCTTACGGTCCAACTTTCACAGCCATACATTGCAGTTGGGAAAACCATAGCCTTGACTATACACACTTTTGTTTGCAGGGTGATGTCTCTGCTTTTTAGTATGCTGTCTAGATTTGCCATAGCTTTCCTCCCCAGGAGCAAGCGTCTTTTAATTTCTTGGCTGTAGGCCCCAACTGCAGTGATCTTGGAGCCCAGAAAAATAAAATCTGTCACTTACCTCCATTTCTTTCCCATCTATTTGCCAGGAATTGAGAGGGCTGGATGCCATGATCTTAGTTTTCTTAATGTTGAGTTTCAGAAGCCTTATTTTAGGTTACTATGATCTTTTACCATTTAAGAAACGTATCTTGGCATGCCTGTGCAAGGTGAAAAATATTTACACTTTGCACTGGTTCTGTTTGGTCAGAATGCATTTCTTAATCAGTTTGGGGTACGGTGGTGGTGGAGGGGATTGCAGCTTGTTCAAACATCAAGCAAAGATGAATTCCACAGAGGGCTCCAGATGGCACATCTTCAAGTCCATCTTCAACGAGGCAAGGAGCTTTATCCTTCTAAGTTAAAACATGCAACAACAATCCATGATTTGAAGAGCGCTGCAAGTCGTTTCATGCGTCAAACGGTACTTGGGTCTTGCTTGTTTTGAAACCTCCTCCAACTTGTTTTACTACAGCTTTTGGAAACTGAGGGTGGTTTCAAACTAGTTAGATAGGATGTTGAGGTCTGCTGTTCAAAGATACATATAAACATACAATCCCACTGGGCACGTCACGCAATCTCTAGAGTGCACGTGAAGTAACTTTTTGGAACCAGGCCACAGAATTTATTCTTACACTTTTAAACACCAGACTCAAGTTTAAAGGGAAGCCAACGTTATGTTGATTTGACAGAGCGATTGTGAACATTTTGCAGTTCTGAATTTCAAAAGTCCATGATCTTTTTGGCATATAAATATCAGGAAGGAATTTTACCCTCCCCCCCCCTCCTCCTCCTCCTCCTCCTCCTCCTTTGTGAGGAAGATAAATGCATGCCATTCTCCCGTCACCCGAGTAATATTTGTCACTTTTCATCGGGCTTTGCTTCACTTGCTTCATTTGTTTGTTGCTCTTTGTACTGTAACCGTTTGTATAAGACATTTCTCACACACTCATCATAACATAAATTATTTAGTGCTTTTACTGTAATTCCTAGATATTTGTGGCCAGGTACTTAAAGTGTATATATTCTTTTCCCTCTGGTTATAGATACAGCAGAATACAGTACCTTCTGGAATTGTGTTCTATTCTCATTTCACCTCTCAAAACCATGAATGATTCTAACTCATACATTTCTTTGTTTTAGTCAAAACCATTATCCATTATGCTTTGCTTTTAGATAGTGTATGTTTTTCCGTCCTAGATAAGTTTTCTTTTTTTCCCCCGTCTCTTTTTTAACCCTCCAGATCTGTCTGGCGAGCCTTAAATACAAGATTGTTCTGATATTAACCTGAAAATTGTGTTTATTATAGTCTGAACTTCTAATTTTAAATGGAATGATATGGTTAAGTACTATGATATTTCAACCTGTGTGATTCTAGTATTTGACCAGATTACAGTTTTCTTTAAAGCTTTATTTAAAGATAAAAAACATATTTAAAACATCATATTTTATTATTTAATTCAATCCATCTCCCAGTCTCTGATTCCAAACAATGGCTAGAAAAGCTAAGAATTTTACATAACTGTTTTGACATTTCTAGTTGGTATTTAAGGTCAGATTCCAGCGGTGCTTTACAAATGTTTCAAACCATATTTTTCAGAATTCTAGAAGTTTCCAAAGTAGTCTGAGGTGCATAAACTTATGCACTCAGAGAAGAACCCTACCTTGTCACCTAGGCCACCATTTCTGAAAACAATATGACTTTTAAAACCCAATGGTCCATAAATCAAAGATTTATCCAACAAATAAATGAATAAATGAATCTCTCCCTCCCTCTGAGTAAGCCAGCCAGCAAACTTTGGGTCTCTGCCAAGGTGACATGTAATTGGAAAATATTATTTTATATATGAACAAGTTTTGTACATGCTAAGATTTTTAAAAAATGAATGCTGCGCTTATTATTTCATAGAAAATAAATTGATTCATCAGCACCTACTTTATTCAGATGTTAGCAGATCTGTTTCCATCTTGTAACAGATGGAAAGAATTTTCTGGAAGTCTTATTTATATTTCATTTTACCTAGAAAATGGGAACCCCCTTCATTTTCATTCTTCGCAGTGTGTGTATATGAGAGTACATATGCCCGCAGGAATCTGGCTTGCTCTGAAAATACGCCTTGAGAGGCTTTCTGCTTTAAACTTTAGAACAAATATTTTAATTCTCTACAGCAACAAGAGATCTGGTATTCTCCTGCATGAATATAAGCTCTGCCATGGTTGTCATCTTACCCCGATAATATCACAAGACAAGTAATGACAGATTAAGACCTGACTTGCAGAGGGGAAACTAAATTACAAGACTTTTATTAAGGCATAAATAAACCTATTAACCATTATCTAGAATACCAATTAGTAGAAGGAGCACTGACAATTTTATTTATCAACATTAAACACAATTATTAATTACAGACCTGACGAATCTACCAGTAAGCAGAACATGTTGGGTGTGCTGGAGGCTTAAGCCCATTATATGAGAAGGCTGATTACCAGAATCCTATGGGGAAATAAGTAATTGTAGTTGTAAAATTTTAATTGCCTTGGAATAAGGTAAATTATATTCTCTTGTCTTAGAATATAAATAGTGTGGCATTAAGGTACAAGCCTCAGTAGTTTTAAGCAGCACATGATTTAGACATCTAAGCTATAAGGAAAGAAGAAAGAAACAGTTATATTTGTAGCAGTTACTTATTTTCTGTTTTGAATTAGTAAATTCATTGATACTGATAAGCAGCTTTGAGTCTGCTTCTCCAGCAAGTCTTGGGTGTCATATATTGTTACCTTTGGATTAATGAAAGAACAAAAATGCCGCAGGGTTGCATAAGGGCATACAGTTGTTTCAACCATTCCATTCTTTTTCTTGAACCCAATGCCTGTTATTGAACATGGAAGTGCAATCTGAATGGTTGTTAATAGGAGTTTAATATCTCTATCTGTGAAGCTGGATAAAAAAAAATCTTTCTCATCAACAGCATTGTCTTGTTGCCGATGGCTTACTGGTCAAGGTGACATAGGTCCAAAGCAACGCGAACCTCCTATTCCAAGAATATTTGCATCACACCTTTTAAGAGGTTTACTTAGAAAGTTATATTAGACCTTTTCTAAAATTCAAATGAATTTTCATGCAGAATATTCTGCAGAGAGCGCCTGGTTTTGATTGTAAACTGAATTGCTTGAAACCTCTTTGCTAAAAGAGGTTTTGAGAAGTCAGCTATGGGGTAAACAATCCTCCTTTCTTTTTTTTTTAATCCAGTAGAAATTCAGTAGACCTTAATCAGCTTTCAGTGAAATTGCTTAGAATGGGAGCTTTAAGAAGACTCTACCCCGTGATGGCAAACCTATGGCACGCATGCCACAGGTGGCACGTAGAGCTATTAATGCGGGCATGCAAGGAAATACCAGAAGTGCTGAAATGGGCCCATTTTCAGCCTCCCGAGGTTTCCCTCGAGCCTCCAGGCGGGCGAAAACGGCCTCCCCCGGCCTCCAGAGATCCTCTGGAGGCTGAAAACAGACATTTCCGGTATTTCCCAGAACGCCCGTTTTTCGGCCTCCCGAGCAGAGGCTTCCCTTGAGCTTCCTGGAGGGCGAAAACAGCCTCAAACGGGCCAAAAATCAGCTGGGAGGCGCACACATGTGCAGTGTAGGTAAGGGGGCGGGGCGGAGGTGTTGGGTGTGCATGCGCAGGAGGGCGGGGTGCATTGCACTGTGGGTGCCGGCACTCGCATGCTATCATGCACATGCACACTTTTGGCACATCACAACAAAAAGGTTCACCATCACTGCTTTACCCTATGCAGGAACTTGTCATCGATTATTACCTTCATCAGATATTGCCAACCCTTTCTTTCTTTTTTTTTAATGTATCCACAAATACAAACCAACTCTATTTACAGACTGTTTCTTTTTCTTTCAAAGATATGAAATCCTGGCTTTCGGGGCACTTGCTCACCAACGCAGCCAAAAATTCATTTTCAAAACTTATGGAGAAACTTTGCGTCGTGATGGAAGTTACTCCAGTGGACAGCAGTCGGAGTATGACTTATGTAGAGAAAAACTCCTTGGTTCAAAGGCTGGCTCGTGGGCTCCATAAAATAAACGCCCAGACCCTCGAAGCAGGCATAACTGACAGGACCCCTGCTACGGTTGGTATGGGTACGATCAGTTACATGATGGAAGCTTTCCCATTGTGTTGGATTTCGAAATGTTAATCCTTTCTTAGTTTAGTTTACATAGCACTCATCAGTCTGCTCAGCTCCCTAAAGGAAAACTGAGGAGGTGCAAGACAAGAGGCAATATTTTTCAGGCTTTCCTTCAATTTGATATTATTTCAGTAATTCTTTCCCCCAACCTTTTACATCCTTTCTGTCATTTGCCGCTCAAGGCAATGTGTGTAGTGTTCTTTTAAAATACCCCTGTAAGGTAATGGATGATTTTAATTTCAAAAACCCTGTGATTACCCACTGCATATTCGGGATGCATGCTGTTTCGAAAGACATTTCTCCCCCCAAAATACAGTAATTGCTCTTCATGCTTATTTTCATTTTCAGAAAATACCTTCTCTGCGTATGTGTATATATATGTGTGTATATGTATTTGTGTGTGTGTGTGTGTGTAAAACTTGTTTCCCCAAAAATACAACCTACCCTGAAAGTAAGTCCTAGCTTGATTTTTACACATGCACCCAATATAAGCCCTACCCCAAAATAAGCCCTAATTAAAATACCACCTTCTCCAGTGTACATGGGTAAAAATTAAGCTAGGGTGGGGATGGAGGGTGTGTGGAGCTGCCCTACTACTTACTTTGGACAGTTGTAGCCAGGCCTCGCACACCCTGACGCCTGCCTTGCCAGCCCATTTCTTCTGCAGCTGGTAAGGCTTTCCTCAAGGCCTCTGTAGCTGATAACAAAGCTCTTTATCGGCTACAGACGCCTTCAGGAAAGCCTTGCTAGCCACAGAAGAAGTTCCTGAAGGCCTCTGACAGTGAAAAGGAGGCCGGGGGGACGACGTGCACGAGTGAGGTTAGTCAGTGGATGACATCCCCCGAAAATAAGACCTGGTTGCCTTTTTTTTGCTGGCAAAAAATAAATAAAAATAAGACAGGGTCTTATTTTTGGGGAAACATGGTGTGTGTACACACACACATACACACACACTTTTTTTTAAGAGTTGCTTTGAGAATACTTACATTTTTGGGTGAATTTAGAAAAGGGGAGCTTCGTCTTAATTTGCTCAGGTGTTCAAAACTATTGATTTATTGCCCAACCAACCAGTATTTTCTAGATAACACATTGTTCCTGTTTTTTTTTTAATGCCAGAAAACCGTAGCATCCTTGCAGAAGCAGATATTTGAATTTACACAAAGGCTGCACACGGCAGAAGTAGAACGGCGGTCACTGCGCTTGGAGCTCACAGAATTCAAACGGAATTTGAATGAGATGAAGAAAGAGGCTGACAAGGCTCATAGTTTGCAAGAGCAATTATATGTGTTTAAGCAATCCGTAAGTCTATTTGATTAGAAGGAGGGAGGGAATAATCAGCTTTAAAGGAGGGGATTCTATTTAGCGTCCTTTAAATATCCGTTGGAGAACCTCTACCTTCTTAGGTGGGATTCTTCATTCTTGCTTCCCCTCACACATGCACAAAACCCCTCTCTATGTCTTGTCAATTCTCAGCTGGGAGTTAGCTCTATTAAAAGAAAAGGCCAAAGTTACTCCTGGTAAAATTAGTCCATTATGTTGCAGAATAAGGTACAGTAGATTGAGTCAATAGTCTATTCAGAAAAGCTGAATTCTTGGTCGGTTAAATTAGGCTGTTTGCACTGTGGGAGAACTGGAATTTGAAAACTCAAATGATGTATGGATAACATAACTCTTACTGTTTTTATATACCATTCTGCTTGTATTGCATGCTGCATTTTGCAAACGGTTGGCAAAATTGTCAAATAAAGCAAGTCTTCCGCACATGCTGCAAAAGATCTATGTTTCTACCAGGTTTGCAGTAGATTGAACAGGTGATCTAATGGGGATTATTACCCGGCAGCTGTAGATGGGAAGTATTTGCTACTGCTTCATGTGACTGGAGGTGATCACCATTCACAAAGGCCCACACGTTGTCACATATAATAGCTTGGATTTCTGAAGGCTTTTCCCATACATGTCGATATTGCTGGTGTCCAGGACCTCTGGCCACATATCTTCCAGAAATAGTCTGAATTTCTGGAAACTTTGACAATACTAAAAAGGGATAGCCTCGGAACAGCCCTATTGATTTTAAATACAGCCATAATTAGGGCAGTGATGGTCCTTAAAAAGAGGCAGGTTTTCCAGACTATATTAATGAAGGAAGCAAATAAGGTAGCACTCCTGTAATCCTTGCTTGTCTGTTCCTTAATTGAGACTAGGGATGTCAAACTCATGTCCTGGCGGTGCCTTGTGACATATCGGGACTTTCCCCCCCCTTCGCTAAACCGGGCGTGGGTGTGCGTGACGCAAGGCCAGGAGTTTGACAGCCCTGATGTAGACTGTCTTGAAAGGCTGAAAGGCACTTATGTGGTGGGATTTTTCTGTTCCTTTTTATTGCAGTTGGTACAAATGTAATCCACCTCTCCCAGCAGAAAATGCAGAGAGCAAAGTTCCATTTTATAAAACAACCTTAGAGCCCCAGTAAAACTGTAGTTTGATATCTAGCTCTACAGGTGGTCCCCAACTTATAACAGTTCAAAGTGACTGTTCAGAGTGACAATGGCGCTGAAAAAAATGACTTATGACCATTTTTTCACACTTTACAATCTTTGTAGCATCCCCATGTTCATGTGATCAAAATTCAGATGCTTGGCAAGTGATTCATACTTATGACTGTTGCAGTGTCACAAGGTCATGGGATCACCTTTTGCAAACCTGACAAGCAAAATCAACAGGGGAGCCAGATTCACTTAATGGCTGTCTTACTAACTTATCAACTGCAGTGATTCGCTTAACAACTGTGGCAAGAAAGGTCGTAAAATGGGGCAAAACTCCCTTAACAAATGTCTCATTTAACAACCAAAATTTTGGCCTCAATTGTGGTCGTAAGTCGAGGACTACCTGTATTAAATGGAGAGACAAAGTTTTAACTGCTATTTATTTCATTTTGTCTTGCAACATGTAAATCAGAAGTGGGATTCAAAAATTTTTTCCACTGGTTCTGTGAGCATGGCTTGGTGGATGTGGAAGGAGAGGGATACTGTAAAATTTGCATTCTCTCCCCACTCCTGGGGGAAGGTTACTGCAAAATCCATTCCCTCATCACCCCACTAACCTGCTTTCCAGCTCCGTTCTCCTGTGCAGGGCAACCAAAGAAGACCCAGCCAATCAGCTGGGACTCAGGAGGCAGAGAATAGATGGGGGCGGGGCCAGTCAGAGGTGGTATTCGCTGGTTCTCCAAACTACTCAAAATTTCCGCTACCGGTTCTCCAGAACTGGTCAGAACCTGCTGAATACCACCTCTGATGTAAATGGACAAGAACAGATAAATAAGGACTAGGGTTCTATATGTTGGTAGCCAGTTTTTCCAAAACATTTTAGTTCAGTGTGAAATAAGACATTAGATGTGATCTGGCTGTAGATAAGCACATGGAGCAATATGGCAATTCTGTTCAAATTAATTCCTTTTGTAGAGTAATAATAATCATAATAATAATAAGAACAACAACAACATCTTTCTTGGGAATTTGAAAGAAAAGCTTTCTTGATGCCTGCACTTCTGCTTCAGCTTTTTGAGAAATCTTGCAAATAAAAATCACCTGGCATTAACATTGTCTAATGGCCCTGGCTTGGAGAGGAGAGCCTCTAGGGCAAATATATTGAGCGTTTGAAAACTTTTACATTAGAATGTTGCATATTGGCAAGTGGCATACTGAAAATCAAGTGTATAAACAATGCTGCTGCTTCATGACAGAACACAATTTATTTCCTTTATCAGAAATTGATCACCCACGAGAGGTTTGAAAGTGCATGTGAAGAACTAAATAATGCATTACTCCGGGAGCAGCAGGCCCAAATGCTTTTGAAGGAACAGGCGCAGCAGCTCCAGGAGTTGCAGTTTAAACTGGAATTGCATTCTTCGGAAGAGGCAGACAAAAACCAAACTCTCAGCGATGCCGTAAAGGTAGGACGGTGCTTCTTCGAAAGTAAAATAAAAATAAGAATAAGAATAAAAACCCAATGTCCACCTGAACGCAGTGTTTTAGGCTTTTAGGACCACAGAAGTGATATAAAGTGCAGCCACTCAGGTAAACAGAGAGCTGAGGTAAAAAAAAAACAAAAAAACCCACTTGGATAGAAAGAGGAAAAGAGTCCGTGTTGAGAAGAGAGTGGAGGGTAACTTCTTAAAATTAAATAAAGTATTAAAAAAATGAGCCTGGCTTTTGTTGTTGAGAAAGCAAAAGGACAGAGGTCCTGTCCCCTGGCCCCAGCATGTTGAATTTACAATGCACGTAGTAATTTATTTCATCCTCCTGACATCTTTCAAAGAATTAGTCTGGACAGAGGGGAAGTGGTTCATAACCAGAGAGGAGAGAGAGCTCGTATTCTTGTGGTCAGCTCCTTTATCCCTAAGCCATGGTTATTTTTTCTTTGTTTGTTTTGCAGAAGGCCAAGGAGGCAGTTAATTGGCCAGTTGCTCTACAAATTTGCAGTATTTATTACATATGCATGTTTCCCCCTGGGGAACTGGGCAAGCTATGTAATCAGCGCATATTCCTATATAGCTCTGCTGTTCTACTTACTACTTCCTGAAAAAGAAGATGTAAAGGGTTTTCCTTTAGAGGTTGGGGGCAGGGGCTATGGTGGCTTTATTGCGGCACCTCTTATTCTCTTATCAAGAAAGAAAAGGGTGGGTGGGAAGGAAATATAGCTACTTGTATTGCTCAAACAGCTCACTGTTGCAAGCTGAAGGTAGTCCTCGACTTACGACCAGAATTGAGCCCAAAATTTCTGTGGCCAAGTGAGAAATTTGTTAAGTGAGTTCCCCCTACCCCCTATTTTACACACCTTTCTTGTCACATTTGTTAAGTGAATTTACACTGCAGCTGTAAATTAGTAAGCCTGTCTTTAAATGAATCCGGCTTCCCCTTTGACTTTGCTTGTGAGCAGGTGATTACAAAAAGTGATCACATGACCCCGGGACGTCGCAACCACCATAAATATGATCCGGTTATCAAGCATCCGGATGCAAATCATGTGACCACAGGGGCCATAAGCGTGAAAATCACGTGTCTGTTGCAACAGTCATAAGTGTGAAAAACGCTCATCAGTTACTTTTGGGGGGGCACTGTTGCAACTTTGGACCATCAGTGAGTGAACTGTTGTAAGTACTTTCATTCCAGGATTGCCAGCATCTCTTTTCAAGACTTCCGCTTGGGAATGAAATTGATGTCTACAGAATGGCAAACTAGTTTCCTGACGAAAGTGGGGACACTCACACCCCTCCCCAAATTATCTTCGAATGGCTACACTGTTAAAGTAGACAGTGAGACAGAACCAAGAAGTAGCCGAGGCCATGAGAAAAACGAAATGCTGTTTATTGAAAATAAGTGTAAGGGTGAGGGAAAACCGATTTGATTAAATTAAATTTTAATTAAAGTTAAAACTAATTAGATACAGTTAATGAAGTTAATCTCTTAATAATTTGAGGCTTTCCCCCTTCTGTTACTTTATCTTGATTACCCTTCCAAATTTCAACAGGGTGTCAAATGTTGATACACCTGGGCAGATCACCAGAGGAGAGTAATCATGCTTGGATATTAAAACGAGTGTTTTCGAGAATTGGATATTAAAATGAGTGTTCAAGAATGTAAACAGATGTTATTTTTTTTAAAAGAAAAATATTTCTCAGTATAACCAGGATCAGTGAACAACACATCAAAGATTATAGCAGGTGGTTTTCAAGCTTTTCTTCACCATGGACCGACCCCCCCCCCCCTTTAAATACCTGTTGTGGTCACGGACCATGGCCACGGACCACCAAGGCTTAACTCAAGATTTAAATCATAACATTTCTTCAAGCCTTTGTGGACCCCCTGTGACAATATCGCAGCATGGGTCCACGGACCACAGGTTGAGAACTACTGGATTACAGGCAGTCCTTGATTTACAACCATTCGTTGAATGACCATTCAAAGTTACAGTAAAAAAAAAAGTGACTTTTACACCTGCAATCATTGCAGCATCCCCATAGTTATATGATCAACATTCAGATGCTTGGGAAGTGATTCATATCCTGGGGACATGAGATCACTTTTTGCAACCTTCTGACAAGCAAATTCAACAGGGGAGTCCGATTCACTTAACAGCCATCTTACTAACTTAACATCTGCAGTGATTCACTTAACAACTGTGGCAAGAAAGCCCGTAAAACGGGGCAAAACTCACTTAAAAAATGTGTCACTTAGCAACAGAAATGTTGGTCTCAATTGTAGTCATAAGTCGAGGACTACCTCAGTGGTGGTATGCTACTGGTTCAGACCGGTTCAGCACAACCAGTAGTAAAAAAAAAAAAAAAGCCTCCGACGAGCAGCTGAGAGGATAAAAGCAGAGAAAAGCGCAGGACCGGCCCTCCCACCAGCCCCTCAGCTTTTCTCTTCTTTATCCTCTCAGCTGATTGGCGCTGCAGGTCTCAGCTGGTGTGGGGAAAGCTGCCCACGGGCGTTAGGCAAAGCATGCCCACCAAGCCACGCCCTCCGAACTGGTGGTAAAACAATTTGAATCCCGCCACTGGACTACTTGTATAGTATTTTTTCTATGTAAAGCAGAATGTAAATAAATAAAAAAATAATTAGGAATAACATCCAAACTAGTTTTTTTTTCTAGAAAAACAAACTGAATAGTAAGATTCTTCACAAAGATGACAGCTAATTATAAAAGGACATAACCCATTGATGTATAAAATGTACTGATTCATAAAACAGTGTTAATAGGAAAAAATAAAACTTGTTTATTTAGTTACTGAGTTTGAAAACCTGTACTTTTTAAGAACCTTTAATATTAATGATTATAAAGGCATCAAAGAATAAGGTTAGTAATTATATACTATATACTTTGGTTTGTAAGATATACAACATGTATTACTAAGTGGGCAATATACATTTTTCTGTTATTTTCATCCAGTAGGTTTAAAAACTCCGTTGATTAATTTTGCAGCTTTATCGGTTTTAATTATAATCCCATATTTTTTTTTATCTACCCAATGGTATATCCCATAGAGACAGGCATGCTTGCCAATTATGTTTCAAGGTCAGTCAGAACTAAGCATAGTTCTTAGATTATTTCTTGTAATCTAAAGCAAGCAAAGATAGTAGCCTTGCTTTCTCATTTTGCAACAAAAATTTATGCTTACAAGAGCAAGAATATATACTGTTTTGCACAATAAAACTATCTGGTAATTTCAAACAATAAAACATACTGCTTGAAACATTTTCTATGTCCACAAACACTAGAAACACCTGAGGTGTTTTTTTTTTTTTGGTGTTCTTTTTTATTTTAAAAAACATGTGGTCCTTCATCTTCTCTAAAACGTATAGCTGAAAATATTTCATGAGAGAATTTTTGGTAAGTTTTATATATTGATCTTAAGCATATATCATCCATGCAGACACTCAAGGCACATAGTCATAAAAATAGCAGAGGCATACATCACTATTACAAATCAAACAGCAAATGGCAACATTCAAAATCCAGGAGTGGCCCAACCAGAATAAATCATGATAAGAGAACTGACAAGTTACTGACCCAATGAAAAGTATCCTGAAATGACAGTATCTTCACTTCCATTAGTCAACTTGCTAGATATTCGGGGAGAAAGAATTCCACAAAGGGGGTTGAAACAATCTTTGGTATGGGTAGGTAGTCCTCAACTTACCACTGTTCACTTAATGATAGTTTGAATGAAATGCATGTAAAGCACCTCTGACTATCACAAAAAGTTACCTCCATGGAAAGTTGCAAGCTACCGCCGCCTGCTGAAATAACTCTTCCTTGTTTCTTGGGTGTGGTTTGAAAGAACTCCCTGCTAAAGGATCTCTATGCGTTCTTGCATGGAGCTGAAATCCTTCAAGCCTGCCTGCACAAAGCTGAAATCCTTTGTGCCTGCTTGCACAGAGCTGAAATCCTTCAGCAGGTCTTTTTGGTCTTTGAGGACTATCTGAAAGAGCCCCCCTGCTGAAGGATTTCAGCTCTGTGCAAGCAGGCACAAAGGATTTCAGCTCTGGAAGCGAGCACAGAACTGAAATCCTTCAGCAGGGGGCTCTTTCAGCCAGAGCCGAGGAATCGAAAGGATTTTTAGCAGCAGTGCAGTAAGGTAAGGAATACAGGATGCCTTGGGATGGGGGAAGCTTGGTGTAGGTGACACGTGAGCCTCACCCCATTTGGGTTGGAAAAAAAACAACCAAAAACCTTGAATCACTTTCCAGGTGGAGTCTCTTTGTCTCTCGCAGAATACCCAGTCAGTATTACAAGCAGTTGTATTGTCTGGATACTTCCAGAGGCTGCCAGGTTGGAAAAATGGTTTCTGCCCATCACAATTTGAACCTGTATTTAACATTATAATCTACAGGGTCACCTGCTCCATTACAATCTAGAAAAGGAGTGAAAAGGCAATATTAAATTACAACTTCCACCATCCTCAGCGTCAGCCCTTTGGGGTAGTCAAGAAAGAAACACAAATCACGAACACTTAACATTACTTTTATTACACAGTTACATTAACAAAATCTTGCCAGTTTGAAATTACCTCTCTCTCCCCACACCTTTACTTCCAAGAAATTAGGGAGGGTCCTTTCTAAAGTATTTGCCATGTCCCCATTGATTGTGTGAACTAAACTGCCTCATATCTGACTCTTGCCTAGTCTGCAGTCTCCTCCTCCTGTCTCTCAAAGACATTCTCACAGATGTTTACATTCATCTAAATTGGCCAGTGATGATAAGAGCTGTGAGCTGAAGTTTGGCAACTTCCATGCTCCTGACCATAAGACCAGCTGATAATGCTAGTTTTAAAATAACCATTAATGCATCAGGGTAAGGTTTGCAAGATTGTATTGGGAAGTATTTTGAGTGATTACCCCATAATTATGGGGTCCTTAATTAACAGGGATAGAAGAATATGTCACTATA